TTTTGAGTAAAACAGTGGACAAATGTATGTTCTTAGGAAACATTTAATACTTGTGGGGCAAAGAATAAAAAAATTTGACTTTTGGAAGCAAGAAATCATTTAGTAGGGAAAAAAAGTCATAAAGGCTTGCGTTATGTACAGAAGTCTAGAAAAAGAAAAAACAGAAATCAAAAGAAATTAGCTTATCTGTAATTCCATCTTGAGTCCTAGTATCGCTAACCAACAGGTTGGTATCTCCTTCACTGATGTTTACAGTCTAGGAAATGTTCAAGGATGTTCTACTCTGTCATATGGGATCACTCTGCAGTCAAATGCTCTATCTTTGAGCTATACTCCCTTGATGGGATCATTCTCAGAATTGACTCAAAAAAGAACAGCAGACTGTTTTCGTGCACACTTTGACTTCTTGGTCAAGAAGGTTATGTCCGGAACTGAGGGGTTTCTCAGAATGTAGAGTTTTCAATGCTAAAACTTTCTTAAGAACATTCCCAAAACCTCAAGGACCTCTGGTGATTCTGAGGTAAGGAGTGGTGTTGTCAACCCAAAGGTAGGTAGTTTGGATCCATCAGCTGCTCCTTGGGAGAAAGAAAATATTGTGTATTGTTGAGTTGGTACTGACACATTGCTTACCCTCCACAGCGTTTTCAGAGGCAGTGAACTGTTTTCAGAGGACCCACGTGTTCTTCTTATCTCTCTGAGAATTATTCTCCCAACCCACGTGGGCCATGGCAATCATGTTCATATCATAACACTCTGCCTACTGGCTGGATCTGAGTGAATCAGGATAGACATTCAAACCATCCGTTTGAGAAATTTAAATCCCAGAGACTAACGGCAGAGTTCTACTATTAAGTATCACAGATTTTCATCATTGGCATCTTTGGGGCAATGGAAGCTTGTTTATCCTCTTCTTTGAAGAATTTAATGCCCTTCTCATAAATTATCTCCTCTGCTACTATATTTAAGGTCATTTACCATTACTCCCCTGACCCCTACACTAGATGGTCATTTTGCAAGGACTGTTCGCCATTTTAAAAAAGCATGTTGCTGCAAAATTTACAAAAACTGGGTTGTCTTCACATTGTTACCAGAAGGCCAACTAAGGCAACTCTCCAGGGAAGGGTTAACACCGAGTTAAGACAAACAGCTCTGGCTCTTCCATGCCCCATGTTCTTCAGGATAAATCTCTTGGCTATTATTTTCATTCTCCCAAGTTAACTTTCTCACAAAAAAAATATTTAGATTAATAAATTGGCCTTGTGGCTTTTTTAATCCATGAAAAAAGAATGGCATAATTGAACTCGATTAGCTCCTATTAGGACCCAAGTCTGATACATAAACCCATCTTTCCTACACGCATGCTAATTAGTCACTCTGGGATTTAACCCTCTTACTTCCAAAAATTAGTAACTATATTTAAGAACTGTTAATTATAGAAGTGATTACCTAGTATGTAGAAGATACTCGATAAATGATGTGGCTGCTTGTACCGTAAAGTCTGCTCTGAATTTACAAAATCTGTAATCATTTTTTTAAGTGCAGGTAAGGTTGGCCTACAACACCCGAAGTAAAACTTAGCAGGTAGACTATGTTATTCTCTAGCAGATGATGCAGGGGGAGAACCAGGCACATGTCCTGAGGATAGAAAGAGAATTGATACTTTTGAGCTATGGCGCTGCAGAAGAATATTAAATATACCATGGACTGCTAAAACAGGTTTGTCCTAGAGAGGGTGAAGCCAGCCTGCTCCTTGAAGTCAAGGATTTCGAGGCTTCATCTGACATACTCTGGGCATGTTACAAGGAGGACCCAGTCCTTAGAGAGGGATACCACTGATGAGATGGATTGATAGTCTTACTGTCTGTCAGAGACAGTAAATTTGGAACAGGACAGAGAAGGTTTCAGGGCTGTTGTACATAAGGTCGCTATGAGTCGCAGGTGACTCAACAGCACGTAACAACATTCTATTTAGTCAGCAGGCCCAAGACTCAGGATCCTTGCCATTATTAAAAAACTCCTTATTAAAAAAAAAATCAAAATAATAAACATTTATTGGGTACCTACTAAGTGCTCAGGCATTGCTTTTGCTATTATGTCAAAGAAAACACAGTAATCAGGATTAAGCATGTATTTATTTTAGTTCAGTTAAAACAAACATACATTGTTTCATTGAAACGTGTAGCAATCTTTGCCAACAACCATACATGAATTGTTGGCCTCTAACAGTACAGTGGGGTTATTTACATTATATACATAAAGTTAACATACCCAGGATTGCAAAGGGCTTTCTAGATTACATCTGATTTCATTATACTAGATCACATTTGATTACCACTGCATTTTGAAAGTTTTTTAACTTATTTAAAATTTAATATGAGATCTTAACTTGCACCAAATTTTCATGGAAAAAAAAAAAAGTTCAACCAGTTTGTAATAGAAAATATAATTTAGGTAAGTATTACCTGAAATTTTTAGTATGTCAATTGTTAATAATGAAGTTTTTGTACAGGTACTTTTGGAACAATTATTTAAGAGTTCTAGTAGGAATTCCTCAAAATGCAGTTAAGAAACTTACAGGAATATATACACTTGAACCCAAAACCCAAAACTGACATTATATACATCTATTTACAAATATATATGGACAGACAACATATGTACATAGATTATCATAAATATTGAAAAATAGGTTAGCTTTAATGGATTAATGTTGTTCTATAAATAACATTACAGTTATAACTGAAACATCCACGGAAGACAATAATGCAAAGTGAGGTGACAAGACAGTGGTTTTAATACTGAAGACTGCTCATTCATGGGAATTCACTTTAGGAACCTCAAGACAGCTCCAAGTAAATTGTGCATTAGACTTTACTGTGGACAGCTGGTTTTGAACTTCAAATACCCAGCAAACTGAAGGAACCTCATCACACTGATTTGCTGTGAGGGTTCTTTTTCCATTCCTTCCTGGTTATCATTAAATAGTCTTTTCTCACTCACATTTGAAAGGATAGGGGAGAAAAAGGTCTACTTGGCATTTCCTGGAAGACTGGATATAAAATTGGCAATTTATTCCAGGAACTCAAGCAGAAAGGTCATTCTTGAGCTGAACTAGAGATGAGGTTCTGGATTCAAATGGAGTGCCAAAAGCCCAATAAATGAAAGCAGTGCTATAGAATCCATCTTTTCACTGCCTTTCTAGATGGTCCCCAATTATTTTATTTCTGTAGAAATAAACATTAATGGACCATTGGTTTCACCCAATGTAGCACTACAAGATGTCTTCCAGTTCCATAAGGGTCTTTAACTAGATATATCCTGCCTGTAATTTAGTCACATATAATACAAAAAAAGTGTAACATAAACCATGTCTGTCACATTTCTGGCTCTAGCTTAAAACAAACCAAAAGTGTATTGTGTTCAACAGAGAACTATAGAGCCAGGTGACCAATAGATGATTTCATTATTTGCTTCCCTTGACCACTAATGGAATTACGTAGACTTTAGACATTATGCCTGATGAGCAAAGTACCACATTATTTAATAATATATTCACCATACACCATAACGTACAATAAATGTGCTCTTAAAGCCAAGTTTAAAAGAAATGTTTTCTTCACTTCTAACCAGGACTGAAATGGAAGGGTGAACATGCAGTTGGAAGAAAACAACTACATACACTCAAATTGCACTGTTTTCCCTAGCTAACCATTTGTTGGATGTAAACAAATAATTCTAAGTTGTACAAGAATGAGATGACAATCCAGTGCATATGAGTTTTTAAAAGCTTACTGCATGAGAAACCCAGTGGCCTATACAAAGAGAACTTACATTATACCAAATACCGGTGTAACCTGTGGATTAGACCTCTACTGTAGACAAAACATAAACACATCTAAGCCAAACATTTTATCAAGTATTTCACACTCCCAGTAGCAAATGAGCATTATGAAATGTTGTACTCTCTCAACAGAATAATTTTGGCATATAGCCACCAAATGCCCACTTTACACTACTAGAAGCAATTTCCATAAAGGGCTGTCCCCCCGACCCCAAAACAAAAAAAAATCGCACCCAAAGCTGTTAATACAACTCTGGAGACAGATGCAACTGAATAAACCCTGTTTTACCCAATTGCACTATTTGGTACCTCAAAATTAGTTCAATTTCCCACAGAAATATCTGCATTATCTTCCATTCTAATAAATTGAAGCCGTAAGCATCTCAGTCTATATGAACCAGATTTATTTGGGGGCAAAGAAGTAATGAACATAGTTCACCTGATTTGGTAAAGCAATAGTATACTAATTATCCTTTAAAGGCATAATGAAGTTTTGAATGGAGAAAACTATATTCAATGGTATTACTTTTCTACATAATTTCCTCTAAAAATTATTTTGGGTAAAAAAGTATTTGGCTTATGCCTACAAAAAGGCAAATCATTAATTTCATAATACTAATACTCGTTTTTAAGTACCAATGAAATTTTATTTTTACGAATTTATTGACAACTGTTTCTGGATAAAGTTCAAAAAAAGCCATTTCTTAAAAGTAAAATAGTGCTTTTGAGGTCTATAAGTATTTTTGGTACAAAAAGTAATCGTATTTTTCTCAATGGTTATTTTAACACTTTGCTGTAAATTAAGAATAGTTTCTCACATCGAATGGTTCCATTAGGCACATTCAAGTAAAATCATAAAGTATCCAAGTTAAACAATGACACAGCCAAACATGTGGCTTCATAAAAGTTAAGAGTTTGTCCATTCTCTGGAATGGAATAAAATTGTCACTTCCTTTCACTTGAGACTCATGGTTTTGCTGTTAACATCCGCTTCTTTCGTACAGAATAGTTTCTTAAAAGAGTTCACAGATTCTGTACTGAGAAGAATCAGCGAGGAATCTTTACATCAAAAGGAAGTGAAACTGAAAACATTAGGTGAAATTTCATAGTTAAGTTGAGTTGACTCAACACTGGCATCAAATGGTTTGAGTGGTGCCAGTTAATGGCCACCTCCAGGGGCATTGTGCACCCAATCCAAAACAATCAAGGCCATGCTTCCGGTCATCACCACTATACCGCTCAGCAGGAAGAACAAAGCCTGCATAAACAAAGACACAAAAGTCAACCATCAAGCAAACAGCAAAACATGTACTAAACATCTTCTACTCACACTTTTAAAAATGAATCTCATTAATTATTTAAATTATATACATATATTCTCCTATATGGAGCTCTGATGGCTTAAGAGTTAAGGAACTACACTGCCAACTAAAATCTATGGTTTGAACCCACCTGTTGCTCCGTGAGAAAAAGATAGGCAATCTCCTCTGTATGATACACTGTCCCTGAAAACCTGCTGAAGGGTTTCAACTTGACAGTACATACATAACAACTACCTACAGACTTGCTTAAGATTTTTGTCAACAGAAAAGGTAATTTACTATTTTTTATAGGTACTGGGCTTTTTATTATTGTTGCATTTTTTTAAAGCAAAAATTAAAGACACAAAACACATCTAAACTATCCTAAGATATAGGCAGAGTCAAAGAGACACAAGTAAACTTACACCCTTCACTACTGCCATTACACAATTTGAACAACTGTTGGTTTATAAATAATTCTATTAATCAGACCAGAAAGCAGTGAATAATGAAGACTTAAAAAAAAATTAATAAAAATCAGTGCTTCTTGTAAAATATCTCCACTATAATTTTGGTTACTAGAATTACATCATTTATGGTTAGCCTATTACAATCTTTGTAATTAGTTCTTGTTATAATTTAGATCATATACAAGGCTCTGCTATTCTGCAAAGATGGAGAAAAGTCTGTCTCATTTAACTCAACATACCATTATTCCTCTTCATCCTAACTAACATGCTCAACACTCAGTAAAGTGCCTGAAATCTCGTAGGAAGTCAGTAAGAAACACTAGTTAAACATACGTTCAAAGCTAGAACACTGTCTTAAATTCTTCATCCTTCTAAAATACGATAATCAATGTATTAGGTGGCAGACTAACTTAAACCTTCCCTCACCCAATCCTTCATCTGTGAAGTGCACTACTGAATACTTGCTAGAAACTTAATGGAAACTATGGCAAACGGGGCTATAAGACAAAAATAAAAATTAGTTGAGGAATTTTACTCACCCCAATCTTTTGTATAGATTTCATAGACTCTTTCTTCACTAACTTGATATAGAAGGCAGATGGAAGAATAAAAATCAACATAGCAGCTGCAGATGCACCTGTAAAAAAAACAAAAACAAGTGTCATTTTCTTTAGAATCCAATGAATGACTTGCCATTTATTAAACCTGAAAATATCCCTGACATTTTTGAGGGAAAAAGTAGCACTGAATGTGGATGCAAAGATCACAGTAGAAACAGAACAAAAATAAGTGAGCATCTATGGTTAGGTCTATGTATATTGGTATATGGGCAGGATCAGGTATGTACACAGATGAGAGAAGATTAAAGCTATCCATACCAAATCCACTTCTACTGAACGCATTCTAACTCAGTGACTCTACAGGACCCTACACAAGAACTGTAAATCTTTATAGAAGCAAATCTCCTTCACCTTTTTTCATTCAGAGTGGCTGGTAAATCTGAACCACTGAACTTTAGGTTAGCAACCCCAATGGGCCACGAGGGTTCCTAGGAACATGTAAATGTGTAGGTGCAGACACATACTCATTGAGGCAACAAATACAAATCTCCTCAGACATAATCAAACAACTCTAAGATTGATTTTCTGGGTTTAAAAATTCAGCCAGCCTAAGAGGTTGACAAAAATCAGAATCTGCACCCGAATGAAAGAAAGAGCATCTGGAGTGCTCCAAGTTTCCGTGTGGTCATTTAAGATCTAAGTGTGGGTCTCTCTACTCACTAGAAGCAAAACAGTAAGCTGGTAACCAAAAACTCAGGAGAAACAGGTCTACATAATAAGCCACCACTTCATTTACCCAGAGAGCAGAAGAACTAGATGGTGTCATTACAATTTATGATAGATTTGACTAGGGTCATCAAAGATGGACCCAAAAAGAACATAAGAAAAGTACGGGAATGAACTTAAATTCTTATTTTAAAAAAGAAAAGCAAAGTAAAACTGTAACAGTTAGTTCCAGGCATCCCACGACACTTTAAACCCTCTGAGACCTAATTTTAGTCAAACTGTAAATTATCAACAAATAAAGGCTATTAAAAATACAATCAGTGCTATACTTGAAAATATCAATATAACATCAAAAGGTCAATACCTACTTCAACATAAAGATGAGGAAGAGGCAGGGAAACTTGAGTACTAGCAGCAGAGTAAGTCACACAATTAAAGAAAATATTGTCACATACATTTAACTAATGCCACTGACCAATCTATACAGAAATTGGCAAAAGAGAGCATAACATGCTGGGTTAAAAAACAAAAAACCAAACAAAAACCCAAGTAGTTTTAAAACACAACAAAACAAAAAAACCCCATAAACCAAGAAACACAAACTCCCAGTTATTTGAAAAACTTCTGATACTTCCTAACACTTACCAATGAAACCAAAGATATCCCTAATAGTTGGTACAAAGATGACAAGCAAATTTGTAAACGCCAGCACAGACACTGTGATGAAACTATGACGCCACCAGCTGAAATCTTTTCCCGCACACAACAACTGAGTTACGGAACTCCGGATCTACAAGAAAAAGAGGGTATCCAGCTTCAATGAATGAAAAAAAAAAAAAATCCCACATGAACTACATCTAAAACAGAAGCTCTTTCTTCAGAATGTCAGAACAGTCTCTATTTTTAACTACAGAAAAGATACCCCAAAATGCTTTCAAAATCCACAACTGAGGATGAAAGTGGACTCTTTTTTTTCCTTTTATTTTATTCTTTTTGTGTGCGTGTACCATCAAATCAGATCTGACTGGTACAGGAGGAGATTGCCCCTCTTTCCTTGGCAGAGTATCTGGTGGATTCGAACCGTGCACCTCTGGGATTGTAGTTGCAGCTTCTTGCCACTAGGCCACCAGAGCTCCCCTGAAAGTGGACTCTTTTAAAATAACTATCTTGGTATTTTTTGTTCTTCACCCCGAAAAAGGAAGTCAACCATTATTAACAAGCTTAAAGCTCAGCCCTACCCTACTTAAGGCTACTTACCGGGAAAATAACCACTGGTACTGTCAGTGTGACAGCCACCAACACAGCCAAACGGACAATGAGAAGAAGAATATCAGCTCCCATGATAGTCGAGTAGGTATGGAGCAATTCTGCCTCAACATGTTCTATGAAGAAAACAAAATAAGCTTCAAGTGTGCCATTTCCTCTGGTGACTAAGTAGCAAATCTAACTTTACAGCAGATTTGTCTCAAAGTTATTAGCTACTTAAAAAATAACTATAAACTAAGAAGCTAATAAGATTAAATTGGAATTATAGTTAATGCAATTAAAATAACACTGGAAAAAAGTTTTTTTAAAATATTGAGTAGCGATTTAGCCCCATGAACTCCACTAAAAACAGCAGGTAAATAATGAAATCCTTTCATTCAATTAGTTTATGTGTGCTGTATAATTCTTGAAGGTGATGACAGAATGAACTTAAGTGACAAGAATGTTATACAAAAATGACTAATGGTAATGGTTTATCTTTAAATGGATTTAAAAAATTACTGATTATCTATAGGAAATTCTTAAGTTCTATATTCAATTTCTCATTACAAATGGGAAACATACTCAAACAGATCAAGATTTTTCTAAGTGTGAAATTGGAAAAAAAAAGCAATTCCATTCTAATAACTGGTAAACTAGACATTATTTACCATAAAATGTCAGGTATCCAAAGAGGGCAGCAAGTAGGTACATGAGAAACATGGCAAAAAAGGAAATCTTGGAGACATTCATCATTCTTCTACGGCTACGACTATGAAAATTCAAAGGAAGATGCAAATGTTTCAGTTATAATCTTAAATACATTTCCAATTTTTACCAATAAATTTATGTAGAAATAGATTACTCACTCTTTTAGCTCTTCGTAAATGGGAAGAATAGCAGGATGGCAGACAAATGAAAAGGTCAAAATTGGCACGGCATAGACAGTCTGAAAAACAGGTAAAAATTTACTTACCATTATGTACCACACACCACACTGTCATAGTCCAACAGCTTGCATTTTATATTCATTAACCTTTGAATTAAATGTCAAATAACTTTTCCTTCTATAATTACTTTCTACTCTTCTTAATCTAGCCAAGTGTGATCAGTATTTTAACTTCCAAAATGTCAGAACACCATGATTTCATTACTCAACTTGTCTTCAGAAATAAACTAAAACATTCTTCCTCACCCTAAGTAACTAGCTAATGGTGTATTTTCTAATATCTAGCCAATTCCCCCCTTTAATCTGGAAGTAACTTTTAAATTTTAGTGGATAATTTTTCTACCTAACAACTGCTTTTGAGAAAATGAAGACTAAATTTAGCTACCTGTGAGTTGAAGATAAAGTAACGTGGTGTGCAAGAATTTTCAGTTATGTTAAGTGTCACATCAGGTGCAAAAGGGGTCGTCTGTGTTACGGTGCTGTTCATTGTTTCATTAATTAGCAAAGCAAGTTCCATAGGGCAAGGAATCTGAAATTTCTTGCAAATCACCTGAAAATACAGTTTTTCATATTTTGTTAAACTGAGTATATAAGAGGGCTTAAGAAAAGTTTTATCTAAAAACTTAAGAGCTTTAAAAAATAACTATACCTACCACAATCAGAAAGAACATCATACACAACAAGGAAAGGCCACTGGTATATCCCAAATACCCTAAAAAGGAGAAAAACACATCAGTTTAATGAAAATAGTTCAAGGAAAAAATTATTTTCTCTGCTAATTAAGACATTGCTGCTTCCTTTTTAGGCATAGAAATTGCTAATTCAGAGATAATTACAGGATCTTTGTTCAAAATAAAGATGAAAACTAACATTTCTTCTATTATTATTTACAAAGAAAGATACAGCAAACATCAATAAAAATACGATTTTGCAAAAATTGCAGGCACCACATGCTACAACCACCACATGCTACAACCCTGGAAGGCAAGTTTACAAAGGCCCTTTAAAAAAGTTCTTTAATTCCTATTAATAAAAATGTCAACTAATTGCTATGAAAACCCACAGGAATATTAGCAAGGAGTTGGTTCTGAATCAATGGCAATGAAACTGAGATTTTTGACCTCATAATAAGTGTTATTTCAATTCTCTGCAGGTTTTTTGCTCACCTAAATTTCTCAGCAGTGACAAAGGAAGAATGAGCACCAACGACACCAGCAGAACCAAATAGTCACCATTCAGGTACCACAATCTGAATGACAATAAAAGAATTTTTTTTTAAAAAAAACCTAGTCACAAATATCCTTAGCAATGATAAATATATCTTTTGAAAACAGAAAAATAGCTTCTGTATAACAAGCTATAACAGAAAATTAAGTTGGACCGCTAACAGGACTCATTTTATAGAAATGCTATAAAGTAACCATTAGACAGTAAGAACAAAAAATTCAGGTTTAGAGAAAATAACACTTTTTCAAGAAGCTTATAAACAAGAACAAATTTCTCAAGTTTGTGAGCTATAAAAAAAGTCACTCAGGTTGAAACAGTCTAACTTTTGTCTCCCTCTTTGCTCTGGGAAGGACGCCAGCTGATTCGTAACATAAAATGCCTCTGAAAGGCTTGAAATGGAGGGACAAAGCAGCATTGTTATGCTGGTAATCTTATCTTTAAGCATTTATAGAAAAAATATACACCAACTTTGTCATAGATTTAGTTTGCAGTTTCTAAAGCCAGAAATGATGAAATTCTAAAACAAGGACTTTCCCTCTCCCTTCAGACATTTAGCAAATATACATTTAAACTTTTCAGGGAGGAGACAGTTTCATATTTAGGAAGAAATAAATGCATAGACAAAATTCAAAACCCCAAACCTGGGCTTAATCCAGGTTACCAAGGTAAAGAGTTATGTTCTGATACCTTGATTCACCTAGTCTTCAAAAATGGTCAAAAAGATCCCTTCTCAACTTACTATTATCTATGCCCCTTAAGAGAAATAGTAATAAAGTCTCTTCCTTCTTAGGCAATCATTAACGTCATTTTAAAAACAAAACACAACTAAAAATCCCATTATTTTAAAATTCTGTCTGTAAATCCATTTCACTTACTTCATAATAAGGATTGTAGAAATAATATTTAAAGACTAGATGATCAAATTAAGTCTCTAAAGCGACAGCAGAAAAAAAAAAACACCTTTGTTTCGAGGTTATAAACCGCACTTAAATTTGGAAGCAAAATTATTCCTCTCCATGTTTACACTTTTGATAAAAACATGTTAGTCCACTAAGGTAAGTAATTTTTCTAGAAAGGTAAGATTTCTAAGAGCATGACCCCCATTTTCTGTTAAGTCTGTATAGAAAATAGATGGGCTTTTAAAAGACAGAAATTGACTACAGAATTTAATCATTCAGTCCTAACTTAGGTTAGTGTATGTACTCCATGGTAATAATTTCCAAGGGAACACAAGCATAAAAAGATGGTAAATTAGTATAGAGATTATAAAATTATAAAAATAGCTACTATCTTTGGGGTGGTTTTTTCCCCCTCAAAAATTCAAATCCACGTATGGAGGATTTCTTGGTAGATATCAAAAGGAACATTTATGAATAATTTTATTGATGATTTGTTTGATATTCAACTTCATAAAATGTATCTAACAAGTTTAGACTATAATTGTTTATGAAGAACCTTACTTAGCACCTACCCAGTTTTATCTTCAATGTTCATTAATGCCTGGATCACCAAAGGTAACTCATATTTCACTATGAAGAGGTAGCTTGACATAGCTGGAGAAAAACAAAATTATACCATTTACAAGTGCTAAGTGTGGCATGTAACACTAAAACTGATGTGTCACAACTCTGTGCTACACAATGAACATAAAGTCACCCAAATTTTTTTGAAAATTCTTACCTCCAATGTTCTGCATTGTAATTGATCCAGAGGCAGCAAGCTTTCCAACCATTCCAAATGCCTTATGTCCCAACTGTTCATACAATAAAGACCCTGTAATTGGAAGAACCAAAACCAAGAAAATTATAAGAGGGAGAAAGTCATGACAGGTATGCTTAACAGTTATTAAGAAAGTCAACATTACTACCCTACCTCCTTCATTGGCAGTCTTCAAAAGAAGATGAACAGAATACAGGGAAAATATGGACACAAATGTCAAGAGAATTCTAATGAAAGAAAGAAAAAAGGGCACATGGTTACAAATAAGCATGGCAAGATTTCAAAGAGAATTCTTTTTGGTGTCTAGTTAAACATTAATTGCATTAAAAGCTATCAAGAACTGGTGTTCACTCTTCAACTATACAAACTGGATTGCTAATTTCTGTGTGCCGAAAACCCACATCATGCCTCAGACAATTCCATGGTATTTCTGAGGGCAGGAGTTTCCACACTGAGTCAAGGGTACTAGGACACATTGGATGGCTCAATTTTCCAATGGCAGAATTGTAAGATTTATTTTATTTATGGTACCATAATAAATAGCTGTATGTTTGCCTTCATCTGTAAAATGGTTAATACAGGTCGCCAAACCCATCCTAGAAGGTACTTGTTAAGTTTAATTGACAGGTACAGGCAAGATCTTTAAACCACATAAGGAGAACAAATGGAAGATAAAAATATCCTAACACTTTAAACATTAGGCATAACAAGTTTTATAAACAAATGAGTACAAAAATGAGTACGTGACTACTGTGAGGAGGTGTAACACTGCAACCAGCAGTGTGGAATTCAATTCCAGCATTGCACAAAGTTAACAAGGCCAGTCAGTGCTAGAACATGGCACAGCAAGCTACTGGCTTGACGGACTGGCAACTCCCTAAAGTTCTCTATTTGGCTTAGAGACTGACAGGACAGCAGAGACACTAAAGGGACTTTAATGCCCCTTGTTTTCCTTTTAGGATAGGGATTCCTACTTCAGTTTCACTTTCCTTCCTCTGGGCAAGTAAAGAATATAAAAAAGCGTCTCTTCCATCCCCAAATGAGCAAACATAATCAGGGAAATGCATAGAAAATTACAAAAAGCAGTTACACACTTCTTGACACTATATGGGCAAAAAGACCCACAAAAAAATCTTGTACCTATTCATGAAATACAGTAGGTAGCACTGCTGCTATGTAAATTGCTAAGCTTTAAAAACTTATAGTCAGAGGTAGAAAATGGCATTGCCACTGACCTCACCTGTAAATAAGTTACGGGTTTAAAATAAAAAATTTTAAAAATCTGCTGACAAATTAAGTACATCCATCTTACACAGAAATATGGAGGATAAATAAGACAGTATAATCACAAAGAAGGATTCCACTTGATAAGGTCAAAGTGACAAAGTTAAGCATAACACTTGTCTAGTGTAGACTACAGCAACCATGCAAGCCCTGACCTCTGGTATCCTTACATGTGTATACTGCATTACAGAATACCAAAGGAGAAAAACTCCTTAACATTCTAGATGTTACTGAGCCACTAAACCTACACATTATACAAGGCTGATATTCATAGCTTTGAAATAACATTAAAATATTTCAAAAGCACAAGTCCAATATATCACAATTTTGCTTTTGTTTATGAAATGAAGGCGCTATCTAGTGTAAATGCTGTGGTCCCAACCACAATGGCAACATTTTTCAAGTGCCTCTAGTTTATATACCAAGATCCAACAATACTATTCCAGTTACAAATGAAATTCTTTGCAACTTCAGGACCTTTGCTCTGTAAATTTCTCATCCTTGGTAAGAGGGCTCAAAAAGCCTCATGCTAATGAAGTCAGACAGAAAGAATCTGAGCTTTTAGTCAAAGCCAGGCTTAACCTCCATATGGAAACCTCACCACAAAGCAGTTTTGCAAAGGTCTGCTTTTCTTTTCATGATCATTCTATTCTACTACAGAAAACAACTTGAGTAAAAGGCACCAGTTAACTAAACATAACTCACAAAGGGACAATTTCTTACCACCTTTTCCTCACCTGTACAATTTAGTCAAATGACCCTTAGTCAGAAGACTATAGAAACTTAGTTAAAAGCTATGATACAAACATTAAAGAAAATGCGTGCATAAATTTGCACATATTTTTGCTCAAGTGAAATTTTTTCCTTATATTTTCCAAAGGTCAGTGATTCCCAAAATGGTAATGAACTACTTTATAACTCAAAAATTCTATTGCAGGGATTCTGGAAAGTATAACTAACTCTAATTGGGCAAATAAGAAAAAAGAAAAGTTAAAACAGGCATTTATTAAACGGCTGCTAAGGTATATATGGCAATCACGCAGACCTAGAAGGAAAATCCATTTTATAAAACAAGTAAAAATAAAGAAAACAAAACACACACATGGTTGCTTTTCAGTGTTAAACAAACAAAAAATATATCATGACTCACTTTTCTTTAAACAACCGTGTTCCAGGATAGGTAAATACCACCATACCTTATATACTTAGAACTGGTTCTTTTCCTAACTACAAAATGGGCCACAGGTCCTTGGGGAGTCATTATCAATTAATCAAATTTATTTGGAGGCACCATGTTATCCTGGGTTTTTTCAATTTGTTTCTTGATACTGTGCACTTATTAAGTAGAATAGAGACTTGAATTTCTTGTATTTTTAAGCAACTTATTTTCAAGTCAATTATTTCAACTGTAAATCCAGTTTCAGGAGCCAAAAATATATGTTGTACCATCACATTAACTGCCTCGCATGGCAGACTCACTACTTACACATACTTACATAAAAAGAGCAATTCCAGTATTAGCCATGGCATAAGAAAGCCCAAGGATTCCACTGCCCACAATCGCATTGCTCAGATTAAATACTGACATTCCAAAGGAAGTAGTACCTGGATGCTACATAGAGGGAAAACGATAACCAAACATATAACAATAATTAAAAGGAGAAAACCAGCTTTGGGCAAGTTAGCTTTGAAATCTAAAGTACAACTATTCTTTTACTCCATAAAGTCACAGAAAAGCAAATAATTATTAACTTACAAAGTCTGTTTCATACTTCTTCTTCCCCAAATTTGATTCAAGTAAGAAGTTCTGGTTTTCAGGGTCTACATCTGTGTAATGGCTAGAAGAGAAGAAAATATTTAATTTTAAATTTTGCTGAAACATCCATTATTAGATTGTTCTAACAACAAACAGTCCACTTTCAGCTGTCATAACACCTGTACTTAAATGCAAACACATTAAGGAGCAGGTGGCTCTCACACAAAGATACGAACATTGCAAACAGCCAGATAATTCCATTCTCCCCCTAAATGCAGGAAACTAAATCAGCATAATCAGAGGTACGAAATCCATCCTTTACTATGCCTATCTACAAACAAGACATTTTTGTCTTTTATTTTTATTATTTTTTTTTTTAAAAAAAGCATACGACTTCTCTTACCTTTTCATAGCAGCTTGCTTGGTGGGGTAGGAGTAGTTGAAATCGCTGTTGGAACTGTAGCTGCTGCTGTCCTCATCTGGGGAAATGTTGAACCTTCCCATCTCGGCTTTCTTCATGCTGGGCAGAACGGGTGCGGCGCTCAGCGCTCGGTTCCTTTTGTCCTTGGCGGTGCACTGGCCCTCGAGGCTGCCTGCGAAGGTAGAGGCGGCGCATCAGGACTGCAGCGCCCGCTGGCCCGCCCAGCGCGGTCACGTGACGCCGCCGGGCGGCACAGCGCGGCTGATTCATCCCCGGCCAGGCGAGTGGAAAAGTACCAGCCGGGCGCGAGGGGCGGGGGCGCTGCGAGGGGCGGAAAAGTACAGACAGCGGAGCCGCCGAGAACAAAGATAATCCCACCGCAACGCTGCGCCCGCGGCCACTGGACGCCAGGTCCCCTCTCGGGCCATCTCTGGATTGCACACTGTGTGTTATCCCAAGTCCATGCGAAGCGGGGTGGGCTGGGGGGAGGGGGTGTCTCTCTGTTTGGCTTTTCCCTCCAGCTTCTCGGGTCGTGCACAGGCATGCACGGAACCCATCCCGCCGCAAGGCACACATTTCTTCCCTGAGCTTTCCTAGGTGTGCATGCAACCCACCTCCCCTTTTCTAGCATGTTTAACAACAATGTCTTGTGACCGGTCTTTCAACTCCTGGACTTCCAGATGGAGAAAAGCCTCTGCGGCGGGTAACATACTTCCAGATGGAAGAGGCAAGAGCTTTCAAGGGGGGCACAATGCCCGTTCCCCGGCTCCCATGGCACTGTCGGTTTGTTTACACGTGCACACGGTGTCCTCCAGGACACAGGTCCAGAGGCATCTGGCTGGCAAGCTCTTGCCCGGCCAGCCCCTCCTATGCTCGGAAAGGAAACTGATGCAATATTGATCGTAGATTGTCAAACGTTCCCGATCCGTCCTTCCCCAATTCTGGCTTCGGTTAATAACAAAAACCCAAGCCCATCTCCGCTGCTCTCAGATTCTAGGCTGCTTTAATATAATTTATTATTATTATTATTGCGAATGCAAATCAGTCACAAGATTTGCCGCAGAGAAGCCGTGGGGCAGAGAGTTCCCCTCCCCCTAACGGGAGGATGCGACTCCGCGCGGAGGGCACGCGGCCCCCGCCCTGCGCCCCCTCCCAGCCCTGGTGGGCGGCGACCTCCCAAATCGGGGGGTCAGGGCCAGAGGTGAGCTCCGCCAGGTGCCGACGTCCGCACCCGCATCCGCACCTGGAGGAAAGGCCTCCGCCGCCTTCCCGCGCGGCCCCTCCCGGGGCCCCTCCCCCAACACGTCCGGTCCCGCGCCCTTTACCGCGACGTTCCCAGCGCCCCTCAAACTCTTACCGAAGGTGGCCTCTGCTGCTAGGTCCCGGAAACCTCACAACAACGGCTTCAGTGGGGTTTTCTTTCAGTCAAATAAAAAAAAAGTAAAAAAATCTAAAAAATATTGGAAAAATAAAAAAAACCCACCTAACAACAGGGAGGAAAAATTATTTTCATTAAAGACGAAAATGGCAAGTTGCCGCCCGAATCGTCTGGCGCCCGCTGTGTCCAGAGAAAGGCAGGCGTGTGTGGAAACGCGTGGACCGGTCGCGAGCGGTAAAGCTATAAGAGAATGTGTCCGGGGCGGCGTCCTCTCGGCGTCTGAAACGGCTCAGCGAGCGGCGGGTTATAGGTGCGGCCGCGAGCCGACGCGTCAGGGGGCGGGGCCGGGCGGCCCGGGGGGCTGCTCTTTGTGTATCAACCACCTGGGCTCCGCCCCCGGCCCACCCGGCCCCAGGCCCCGCCTCTCCCCCGTCAGCGCCTCCCTCCGACGCCGAGGCGTCCAGCCCAACCCAGCCCAGCCCTACCCGCTGGCCCACGGCCCACCAGCGGAGCCCAACCCTGCTCGCTCCAGCTTCCTCTTCAGTCCAAGAAGACAGCCACCCACCCACCCCCAGCTGCTGCTCTCTGCCTGTCCATTTGAGCCCGGGTTGGTTCCCAGCACATGCATTTGTTTGGAAGAGCATTTTATTTCAAATTTCCGTTTGTCCGACTCACCAGCAGCCTTTGCTTTCTCCTTGAGGTTTTTTTGGGACACATCCCACCCACTCATTTCTTTCATGCATGTTATTTTCATGATTTATGTTGTAATTCCTCCCCCCCCCTTTTTTTTCCCTTGCAAACTTGAGGCAACGTTCTGGAGACTGGGTTCTGTTCTCGTTCGTTCTTAACCATCCAAACCTACTTTCACTCTTCGAAACTGCCATGATTAGGCTGCTTGGCAGCTCTGGGAGATCCTTTTGGTATGGGGGGTATGGGAGTACATCTCCTGATCCACACGCCAGATACCTTGAAAATGAGCCCAGGTTGGGAGGCTCATCCTCATGAGCGATTTATAAGTCCCTAGTGTCCCTTTCGTAGACACATTTCACTGATTCCACCCACTCGTCCAGTTTAATAGTTCTCTCCCTCCTTGCTTTCCTTTCCCTGTATTTACAAGCGCACTGCCTCCTTTAGAATGCTGGTGTGAGATACTTTCTCCCCTCCAGGGATGATGTGGTCTTGCTGAGCCAGGCATCTAGGGGGCTCCTTCGTTGTGAAATACTTCGTGCTGCCGGAAAGACTGGAGTTTCTGAAAACAAAGACTGCTTAAAAGAGAAAAGCGTGTTGAGTTAACGAATAAACAAACACAGTTGACCTACTGCTCTTTTCCTTTCGGGGACGTGGGAGAAGTTGGGCAGGGCATAGAGGAAAGGGTTGAGTGTGATCACAATTTTTGCTTTCAATAATTTTCCTGAGGAAATCTGTACAACTGTCTATTTCCGTCGCACGTGGGGCTGCCCGTGCCTTCTGCCTGCACCAGGGATAATTGTCAAGGGTGGAGCCGATTTCCCTTTACACTTATAAGGTCCCTACCCCAAACTTGCTCTCCTCAGACCAATTTCACCTAAACAATACTCTTTCCTGTCCCACACCCCTTCTCTCAAGTGTCCCTGACCTTAGGAAAACTAACTCTCCCTCCGCCTTAATCCCTACCTTCTCCGAACTCTTATTGCAAGACGTCTTTTCTGAAACTGCAGTGCAGGGTTTTTCAAACACTTGCTGTCTTGAACTCAGAACTGTTCAGATTTGTGGTGATGCCTCCCCCCGGGCTCCTAAAGATTTGTGAATTCTCCAAAGGCAGATTTGGAATTTAACACACACAGTTGAAGCTTAACAATTTATTTCCCTTCCACATACATTCCTTAGTAACATCAATCAACTCTTCTGCTCAGGAGAACAATTTGAGATTTGTATTAGAGGGTTAGAGAGGAGTCTGGGGAAACAGCTTTACATTGGATTTCAACTGATAAAAATCAAAAGAGCTTGAACTCCCTTTTCATCCAGGAAGAGACTCTTGTTGGTCTTTGGCAGCAGGAGGTGCAGACGGACGCCCTCAGGGGCTGGTGGCTCTGACTGGCAAATTGCATGCTCACAATTAGACCTCTTGTCTTTTGGTTTTTTAATGGTGTGTATTTAAATATATACTTAAGAGAAGCCCAAGACCTTTAGAATAGAAGGCAAACTGATGAAGAGGAGTGGCAAGATATGTAGTTTTTATTTCTGTAGAATCAGAACCTGAATAGTAAATGACAAAAAAAAGGGAGAACGTGAAATTTTCATTTTTCTATTTCTAGTAACCTTCTGTATGGATTGCATCTCAACATCAAGAAAACAAAGATACAACCAAGCTAATAGGCAGTATCATGCTAGGTGGAGAAAAGATTAAGGTTGTTAATGATTTCTGAATCAACATTCTTGGCATCAACAGTCTAAAGAGCAGTATACATCAGTCTAAAGACTAAGGTGCATCTAATCCAGGCCATTGTCTTTGCAATTGTTTGCTATGCATCTGATAGCTGGACAATGACTAAGGACGGCAGAAAAAAAAGAAATGGCTTTAAGTTGTGGTGATGGAGAAGAGTATTGAACATACCATGCACTGCCAAGAGAATAAACAAGTCTGTCTTGGAAAGGAGAGTGAAACCAGAGTCCTCCTTGGAGGCAAGGATTTTGAAACTGTCTTACATACTTTGGGGATATTGCCATGAGGAACCAGTCCTTGGAGAAAGACATCAAGCTTGGAAGGGTAGAGGATCAGCACAGGTGAGAAAGACTATTGAAATGGTGTCAGACGAGTCAGAGACCGTGAGATCGGCTTAGGATAGGACAAGGTTCAGAGGCATCATTTATAGAATTGTCAAGAGTTTTAGTCAACTTCACAACATATAACAACAGCTGCTAGTTTATGTTTTGAAGGGCCCAGCTCCGAGGCACATCTGATATACGTTAGGTTTTTACTTTTGTACTTTGGGCTAAAATGCTTAAAGCATAGTATTCACTTCTGCTAATGCCAATATATTGGTTGGTCAGAAATGCTACAATGTTGATTTCTAAGTTAATGCTCCCTCAGAGCAAAATTTCTCAAAGTGCAGAATGGGACCCAGTAGTGAATTGTGCCAATTCAGTGGATTGCTATCTTTTCCCTCACTTTTAAAAAACTGGTTGTGTACTGTGTAGTATAATGGCCTGTTTTATTGACTATGCAAAGGCATTTGATGGTGTGGTTCATAACAAATGATGGCTAACATTGAGTAGAATAGGAATCCCAGAATACCTAATTGTGCTCATAAGAAGCCTATACCTAGACAGAGAACCAATTGTCCAAACAGAACAAAGGAACACTGCATGCTTTAAAGTCCAGAAAAGTGTGAGTTAGGATTGCATCCTTTCTCTATACCTATTCAATCTGTATGCTGAGCAAATAATTGCAGAAGCTGGACTATGTGAAGGAGAATGTTGTATCAGGATAAGACTCCTTAACAATCTACAATGTGCAAATGACAGAAACTTGCCTACAGCAAGTGAAGAAGACTTAAAGCACTTACTGAAGAAGATCAAAGATTATAGTCTTCAATATGAATTCTTTCTCAACATCAGAAAAACAAAAATTCAGTATTCTATCCATGTGTTGTTGTTGTTAAGTGCCGTCAAGTCAAAGGCAACTCATAGTGACCCTATGAACGAAACTCCTCGACACTTGCATGTGTGAGACTTTCATCA